AGTGTTTCACAGGAAAAGTTTTGCACTCTTCTGTACAAAATAAAATTCCCTAGGCTACTAGGCTCGAAATTCTTGGTTTGGATAACTTAGAACTGCGTCGCTTGCGATCAGACCTAGGTATTGCATACAAAATTATGCGTAGTAATGCTTTACCTGTAAATTACTTTTTTTTTGTTTTAATCGCAATAATATGCTTGCTAACAACTGCTTTAAACTCAATGTAAATCATTCTAAACTTGATTGTAAAAATATGATTTCTGTAATAGAGTTGTTGAAGTCTGGAATGCTCTACCTGATCCAGTTGTCTCAGCTACAAATTTTCAGTTTCAGTCGCAAATTGACTTCCTTACATGGACCTTACTTCATACTTAAGTGGTCAGTAGAGGGGACGTGCATAAGTGCACTCATGTGCCTATCGTCCCTGTCATTGTATTTTTCTTTTATTCTTCTTCTCGTTTTCGTTTGACAAAATCTAATAAATAAATAAATAAATATTTTGGGCTGCAATTTAAATGTCCTAAGTAAACCATACATTTATCAAAAATATATGCAAACCCTATGCCATTACAGGTAGTCCTCGACTTATAACAATTCGTGTTGTAAGTTACAATGGCGCTGAAAATAGTGACTTACGGCCATTTTTCACATTTATGACCATTGCAACATCCCAATGGTCACGTGATTTACCTTCAGAAGATTGACAACTGACTCATATTTATGATGGTTGCAGTGTTCAAGAGTCATTTTGTGACCTTCTGACAAGAAAAGTCAATGGAGAACCCAGATTCCCTTACGGTAACAACCATGTTACTAAGTTAACAACTGCAGTGATTTGCTTAACAAATGCGGCAAGAAAAGTTCTAAAATAGGACAAATTCGCTTAACAACAGAAATTTTGGCCTCAGTTGTGGTCATAAGTTGAGGACTGCCTGTATTTTATCAACTCTACAGCAAAATTTCTCAGAATACATAGGCATTCGTTTTTGGCAACTATGGTAGCAGTAGCTGATGAGCCCCCAAAATAATTATTTTAATGTTTCCAAAACGAAGAAGCAAAGGAGGGCAGAAGTTGTTTTGTTCCTCTTAATAGCTATGGAATAGCAGTTACCTGAATGTTACGCTTTCAGCTTTCTTCCTCGCAAAATCTTTGACACCCAGAAGTTCTCAAAGATCCTTAAACTTAGTTTGTTATTACTTTCCTCGGTGTATGTTCTAGGATAACTTTTTCTTCCTGTGCCCTAAGACTGTATTAATCTCTTTATCCTTCCTTTCATGGCCTATTGCAGGAGATAAGAAGGAAGAACTACTCTTAACTTCTCCTCAGCTGCATCCTACATCTGGTGTCTGTTCCCTCTGGACATTCGTCTTCCAGGATTAAGAGAAGGAAAGAAAAAGGAAATCAGCCAAATGGCCCGGAAATTGAGCATTGATCAACTTGAGGACCAGTTGATATGCCCCATTTGCTTAGAATTCTTCAAAGAGCCTTTGATGCTACAGTGTGGACACTCTTACTGCAAGTCCTGTGTAGTATCTCTCTCAGGTGATCTGGAGAAGCAGATCCTTTGCCCAGTGTGCCGAAAGGCTGTGGACTATAGTAGTTCACCCCCCAATGTTAACTTGGCTCGAATCATTGAGGCCATTCATACCATAGGCAACTCAGAGGATAACCAAAAATCTTGCCCTGACCACCACAATCCCCTCAGCCTTTTCTGTGAGCAAGACCAGGAAGTGATTTGTGGCCTCTGCGGCACCATTGGCACCCATCAGCAGCATAAAGTCATGCCGATCTCTACAGTGTACAGCAGGATGAAGGCAGGTGCTTGGAATGTGTATGACTGCACGGATGAAGTGGGGGCTTAGACCAGTGGTGGCTAACCTTTTTCCCATTGCGTGCCAAAGGCAAGGGGAGTGCAGTGGGGTCGTGCTCGGATGTGCCCACACACATAATGCTATGCACATTGACACCCCCCCACACACGCATGCACGTGTGAACCCCGCACCGTCCCTCCCCCACTTTTGGCACGCAATGGACCCATTTTTCACCCTCCCCAGGCTCCAGAGGCTTTCTAGGAGCCTGGGGACGGCGAAAACAGCCTCCCCCATCCCCCTGGAGGCCCTCCAGAAGCTTCAGGAGGCTTTCCTGAAGCCGCAGGAAGGTGAAAAACAGCCCAATGCACAAACCAGAAGTCAGTTCCGGAACTTCCGTTTGCGCATTGAGTTGTTTTTTGCTCTCTGAAGGGTGAAAAACAGCTGGGAAAAAAAGGTTGAAGTCACTGGCCAGGGCGTGCATGCACACTGAAACTGACAGGGCAAAACCTTGCATGCCCTAACAAACGGCTCTATGTGCCACCTGTAGCACGCGAGCTATAGGTTAGCCATCACGGGCTTAGACCATAGGCAGAACTGAGACGACTGGCAATTTTGGGTGGGACACCTTGTGTCTGTTGATTAATGGATTAGGTGAATCTTGGTGTGATCCAAACAAAGAAATTTTCACGCAATTAAGGGAAAGTTCTTTGTAAAATTAATGGAGCACATGAATTCCAGTAAAAACAGGTGTAGCTATTATGGGGCAGAAATCTATACTTTCCTTAACAGATTTTTTGTAGCTCTCACACCATATATCCTAAGACCCCCTCTGTGTGAGTAATGTTTTCAAAGGGTGGGAATTATATAAGTGTAAGGATCATGAGTGATAGTATCCTGTGATCAAGGGCAGCAATAGAAAACAATGGATAACACTGTTACAATGAGGGTGATTCACAGAAATGTGAATGTAAAAACTAGGTGCAGCACTCCCAGTGCCTATGAGTGCCTGATACTGAGTGAGATAAGAGATAAAACTTCCTTTCTTTTAAATATAAGCTATGAAAAAGGGAGTCACTGAGTCAGATTAAACATTACCTTGGAGAATTCATATTCTATAATAAGGCACTATAGTTTCATGGTAAAAAGATTAGTTGTGCATGTTTGAATATTAAATATACCCCAAATCCTGGATATACAGTTTGAAGGATCTGATGACCCTAGCTCAGTGGTGTGAAACTCAAGGCTGGATCTGGCCCACAGGGTCCTTAGATCTAGCCCGCGCCGCTGCCCGCGGTGCCTTTGCCAGCAAAAACAGAACTCGGGAGGGTCGCCATAGGTGCCCCCGACACGAGTTATATCAAGCTGACCACGCCCACCCTGGCCATGCCCACCCCAGGCCTCCAAGGTCAAGCACAACCCTGTTGTGGCCCTCAATGAAATTGAGATTGACACCCCTGCTCTAGATTGTGAGCCTCTGGGGATTTGATGATAGTCATTAATATAGATATCTCAAAATCTTAGTGGAAGGTTACTTCATGTGTTCTTTTTCAAATCTGAATGCCTCCTAATAGTTACCGTAATTGAGCAGTCACATTTCTTTTGCCCCTCCTTCTGAGCTTTAAAAAGCATTTGGCAGTTATCATCGAAAAATATATATTAAAATGGATAAACTTAGTTTTGTTTCTCTTACACTTTTTCCCCACAAGTTTAGCTAATGCAATTCTGCTTTTTCAGGAGGAACTCTCCACGTTGATAACAGTTGTGCAACAGCAGAAGAGAAGCCTTGATGAACATGTCAACAAATTGATGAATAACAAAACTCGCATTACGGTGAGCTTAGGCAGGCAGATCACATTATGCCAGTGACTTTCTTGGCTGCCTTTCTTTTCATCCAACTCCTATGCATCCCTGTGGGTGTAATATTATGAGGTTTATTTTCTTTGTACATTTGTGACTGATTCCCAGATCGGTCTGGACAACTATTTGGCCAAGTTCTTGCAGTTTTCTTGGCAAGGCTTTTCAGTAGTGGCTCGCCATTCTTTTCTTCCTAGGGCTAAGAGAAAGTGAATGGTACAAAGTCACCCATCTGGCTTTGTGCCCAAGGCAGGATTAGAACTCATGGCCTCCCAGTTTCTAGTCTGATGCCTTAACTACCATGTCTAACTGACTCATAATACTATTATTACAATAAATAAGCACATTGAGGGGAAGGTATGGATGTTTAGACATATTTTTCAATTAATTTTAGTTTTCTAGTGATTATCTGCTGTATATTCTTGAGTGTCTGGGGATGAGTAAGGTACCTTTGGCAGTTGTCGTGTTTACCTCAATTAAGAGGGGTGAATCTTGCTAAAATTTCAAATGCGAAATTACCAGACATTTTTCTGTTGCTCCATTACTTAGACCACCAGTCTCCAACCTTTCTGGCACTGTAGACCGGCGGTGCCAGCGGTGGTGTGGTGGTGAGGGGATGATTTCACGCACCCGCATGCCACTTGCACAATTGCAGCTTCATGCACTCGCCTGCCACTTGCACGGCTTGGTTCCCAACGAGCTACAGCATGATGCCTGGCCACAGTTAGGAGAGTGGGGTGATTTAGAAAGTAGCCAATTTGGTATAGTGGATCAGGCCAGAATCCTGGGAGACTGTGAGTTCTAGTCTTGTCTTAAGTACAAAGCCACTTGTGTGACCTTGGCTAGTCATGCTTTCTTAGCTTAGGAAGTATGCAATGACAAACCACTTCTGAAATGCTACCAGTAAAATTGTAGAGATTTGCCTCCAGGCAATCACCAGGAGTCAAGATTGATTCAAAGGTACCAAAACGTTCATTTTCCACTGTTGCTTAACTGTTTATTTTGGTTCCACCACAAAACTGCGTTCGACTAAAGCGCGCTTGACGAAACCGCGTAGCTGACGTCATCAA